CCAACGCTAACAGGCCAGCGTTTTAAGACTCGAAAGAGAGGTTTGTTTTTATTTTTAAGGGGACCGGGGCAAGTTGTCACGCATACCTTAGTGGAAGTTAAACTTAACAGCCACTGACGTGCCACATGTGCTAGCTTGCCCTGAACCATTACTTACAATATGCCCTTGAAAATGTTCTGAAAACACCATTTCACTATGTAGTTACTACTTGGCTGAATTTTGTGTAATATCTGGCAGCATTACAAAATTCCAGAATTAGCTGAATATAATTCAGCTTTCCTAATTAAGATAATTTAAGTAGATGTTTGAAATGATGTTAGTAAGCTAATGAATGTTCTTTTGGCCTTTACTCTAAAACGTATAGTTACTGAAACCTAGGCCTTGTGACCCCTGGTCCAGGCACTCTACTGGACACTACATCTAATTTTCTTCTGCCTCCTTCCTTTTCAAGAGATGAAAAGGAGAGATTTGACCCTACACAGTTTCAGGAGAGCATTGTACAAGGATTAAATCAAACTGGCACTGATTTAGAGGTGGTTGCCAAGTTCCTAGATTCCTCTGGAGCCAAGCTCGATAATCGTCGCTATGCAGAAACCCTGTTTGATATCCTGGTGGCTGGTGGAATGCTGGGTAAGAGGGTGTGGAGTTCTTGGATCTCCTTTGTTTCGGTTGTGAAGCATAGTTTAACTAGAGCTTTTCCATTTGACTCTGTTCCCATTAGCTCCGGGAGGTGCCTTATTTGCCGACATGACTCGGACTAACTTCTGTCTCTTCACAGCACCAGAAGATGTTAAGACCATGAAAGCATATGCTCAGGTATTTAAAGTTTCTTAGTAGGTCTATTAGCAATATGCTTCCAGAACAGGGTCTAAAGATAAAAATGGGGTCTGATGGAGTTAATATTATCAAATTAACTCTTAATCTTGCCTGATTTTTAGGTTTTTAACAAGTTAATCCGGCGTTACAAGTACCTGGAGAAAGGTTTTGAAAAGGAGATTAAAAAGGTAATTTGGACCTAAAATCTCAGCCTATAACACTTTAACTTGAGTTAAAAATCAAAGTGACTTTTTTTTCCCTCCCAGCTGCTCCTGTTTTTAAAAGGGTTCAGTGAGTCTGAGCGTAACAAGCTTGCCATGCTCACAGGCATTTTACTGGCTAATGGTAGCCTATCAGCTTAAATCCTTAGCAGCCTCTTTAATGACAACTTGGTCATGCTAAGCTTTTTTCTGATTTCCTTGTTTTTATACTAAATGTGGTGTTACTTTAAATAGGTGTGTCTCCGGCCTTTGCTGTGAAGCTGTTTAAAACGTGGATCAATGAGAAGGACATTAACTCTGTGGCTGCCGGGCTGCGTAAGGTTGGCATGGACAACAGGTTGATGGTGAGTCTTATTGCATTGATAGCATGAGTGAACCTGTGCAATTTAATGCTGACTCGTCTATTATGGTTAACCTCTACCCATAGCCTGTCATTGTCTCTTCTGTTGCAGGAGCTGTTTCCAGTGAACAAGCGAAGCTGTGACCACTTCTCAAAATACTTCATTGATGCTGGGCTTAAGGACCTCTCTGATTTTGCATGCAACCAGCAGTCGTTAGGAGCTCGCAAGCAGCTTCAGAAAGAGCTCCAAGAGCAGATGTCTCAAGGGGTTTCTTTAAAAGAGGTATGTGAAGACCCTTCTACTTGTGTCAATTCTGAACCAAGTTATGTTGTGATTCAAGACTGAGCTATTGTCAATCTCTGCTTTGTCATGTAGATCATTGCGTATGGCAAGGAAGAAATGAAGAAGAGTGGCATCTCTGAGCAGATGATGATTGGTATCATGTGGACCAGTGTCATGAGCTCAGTGGAATGGAATAATAAAGAGGAACTGGTCACTGAACAAGCCATTAAACACTTGAAGGTAAGCGTTGAGCATGGAAGAAAATAACCATAGCTTTTAGACTCCACTGGGTTTAACAAGTTAACATGCCTAAACCTTGTTTTAGTCACTGAGAACCAATTTGCTTTTTCATTGTTTTTATCAGTCAATACCAATGGCCTTGTTGGTATTATGACCAACTTAATTCCTGACTTTTGGTTCGGTTTCTCTTTCTCAGCAACACAGCCCCCTTCTGAAGGCCTTCACCACACAGGGCCTGTCTGAGCTCACTCTGCTGCTGAGAGTTCAAGAGTACTGTTATGACAACATCCACTTCATGAAAGCCTTCCAGAAGATTGTTTTGCTGCTCTGTAAAGGTTGAATTTCTGAAATGCTGAATCTTTGATTCTAGAGAGGTTTAATTAGGATTGTCGCTAAAAAAACTTTTCTGATAATTTAAACTCTTCCTTTAGTGGATATTTTGAGTGAAGAGGCTGTTCTTAAGTGGTATACTGAAGCTCACCTAGCCAAAGGAAAGAGTGTCTTCCTGGAGCAGATGAAGAAATTTGTGGAGTGGCTGAAAAATGCTGAAGAGGGTGAGTATCAGTTACAATTAAACATGATTGTTTCTTTGTCATTCACATATTAAAGAAATTACACTCTTGTTTCCGAATCGAAGTCTGAGGAGGAAACGGACTGAGACTGAAGCCAGGTTGCTTCGTTCTGGAATGAGAAACAATAGTTGACTGTAAATGGTTCTCTTGTAATTAAGTTGCTTGGTCTAGATCACTTAAGTGCTTAATTAACATGACTGTTTTTAAAGTCTTTTTAGCAAGAATTGTTACCTTTTTAAGGTTGCAATTGCAGTCAGTATCAAGGAAGAATGACTTGTTCTCACATCTATGGAACTCTTGTCTAAGACCTTTTTAAGATGTTAGTGAAATTGCACATACAGTACCACCGGTGTACCTTTTGACTTTTATAAAAATAAAGAATATTGTGCAAGTCTGTCTTCAGGAGTTCTTTAATTCTTGATGTGTTATAGTACTTGTACTCATTTAGGAGGACACTATTTCTTGTGACACATTGGTTGTCTGAATGGGGTGGTTTATATGTCTGTCATGATAAATAAGTAGTTTAATTGAGATAAACAGTCCTTTTTGAACATTAGCATACACAGTGGAGAATCATCTTGAAAGCCATGACCACGGCAAGATTCAAATATAAGTTATTTTGGTAACACTTCACAACAAGGTTTCATTTGTTAACATCAGTAAACTATTATAAGTTAACATGAGCAATACTTATACAGCATTTATTAATCTTAGTAAGTACAGCATTTACTAATAGAAAAGTTGGATCTGTTAACATTAGTAAATGCACAATGAATGGACATTAACCTGTTTTTTTTTTAAGTTATATCACTGTCTAAGATTAAAAGAAATACTATCAATTTCTGTAATTTTGTGACTTTTTTTTTTTTTTGCTGTTTATTTACCTCTAAAAGTACCATATTTGTATGTAAAGTATGCTTATATATATATATATATATATATATATGGTGTCGCCGTGATTTTGCCAAATAAGACGTGTTCCTGGATCAACATCTTTTGTTGATCCTGGATCAACATTTCTGTCCAAAAATAAAGACCTGACCCAATACCTACCCCTAAACCTAACCCTACCCATAATTTATTCCTAAAATCAGAGGGAAATGATAGGTGAATAACAAGGGTGTAGAAGCATCTAACCCCGATTGTAAGCCTAAAACTGACATTTCTTGAAAATGTATCCCTCGATTCTGATTGCTTGATTGGAATGTTGTTCCAGGATCAACAAAGATGTTGATCCAAGAACATGTTGTACTTGGTGAAATCACGTTCACCATATATATAAAATAAATAAAATAAATAATTCCAGTAAGTTCAGGCAGCCAAAACCTCAAATACCAATGATGGTATAAAAATGTCAAAAATATCAATAGCCACTATATGGCTGTAGTACTCAACTTTGTTGTAACAAACTTTACCTCTTAGGTTATAGATTTTATCACAAGTTAAATTTGTAGAATTATTAAAAAAATTATTTAAAAAAAAGATGTTAAAAAGAATGATTAAAAAAAACTGTTGGGTGAGACTATACAAAGACACCAAAATATGCTTACAGACAAATTTGACCATGCTATAAGGAAAACACAAATAGGAGACAGAGTAATCATTTATTTTCTAATAAATATATTTCTAATATTTTTTGGGGTGTATGTTCAGATGGCAAACTTAGAAAAAGTAGTGATTGGCCAGCTATCCAGTGCATTGTGATTGGCCGAATACCTCAAGCTCGTGACGGAAATGTTACGCCCCTTCCCATACTGTGATGCCATGTCCTGGCGCGACGAGACAAAAACAATAAAACCCATTACAAACAAGGCATTTGTTGTATCCAGTGGGGACATAATTACTGATTATAATGACTTACACTGTCTTTTTACGTGTTGCATTGCGCATCACGCCGCGTAAACATAAAACCATGTCTGCATTTGTGATCGGAGAAATGACAAACTACAAACGCTACTCTACACTGCTCAAAACTCGCGTTTGAATCATCAGTGGCAAATTCTTTAAATATGAAGACGTACTTACAGGCTGTGAGTCAGAAGCACCAGACTGTGCTTGCAAAGTTGGAACTGCAACACTTTATAGAAACAGCCTTTGTGCACAGCCTTCCCAGGATCAAGAAACAGTCCTCAGTAAAATGCGCTGCACACATCTGAATATTTCAATTGACCTGTTCTGGAACAGTGTTGTAAATACAACTTAACCACTGATTTCTAGTTGTGTCTAATTTTGGAAGGCCAAACAAAGTAGTTTCGCTTTTACAATGAAACACAGCATCTCCACGACATGGCGGCAGCGGCGGCGGCAGCATCAATACTACAGCGAGAATCAAAGTTACTCATTCTTTCTTTGCGTGAACATTTAGGCGGTGTTATGCAAATCTTCCAACACAGTGACGTAGACATGTGGGGGCGTGTTTAAACGAGGCATTTTAGGAGGGCGTGGACGAGTCTTAACTTTTATAAAGAATATCTCTTTGGGTTTGAGACTTTAGTCTTTGCAACTTTAGGGATCTTATCTATGCACGAACAGCTTGTAACATTCCAAAGAGAAAGGAAAACTTGAAATTGCATCATATGACCCCTTTAACTTGTTAAACTTGTTGATATTCCTGTCTTGTGAGGGTCCAGTGAGGTCTTGGGCTTTACTAATTTCCTGATTATTCTCTTCATAACCGTAAAGGTCTTGGCCTAGAACACAAAAAAGTAGTTTGGTCACAAAACAATAGCTACAGTTCATTCTGCTGAGTTTCACAAATTTGTTCCCGTCAAGTACAGTAAATACTAAAGTGGGAAAATTTCATTCCGTATTGTGGAATGGCAGTTTCTCAACATAAAAATATCTGTATGTGCTTTACCCCATTTCTCACTCTATTCTACTGTTAAAACAAACAAATATAAATGTGTGCATTCTTTGAGTATCATTTCATCAAAGCTAAATGTATAACTTTTATGAAAAAATATATATATATTCATGGATTTCCTTGAGAGATTTTTTTTTGTACATTTCACAAGAAAATGTCCAAGTATGATCAAGTTATGTTTATCTTATTTTACTCATGAATTGAAAAACCCCATTGTAAAGACCCATATGAATATCTCGAGAGAACCCATGGTGAATTTATCTTCCTGGGTTTTGATGCCATAGCTGCAGCACTATTTTAAGGGTCAGTGAAAAGCTAAAAGCAAAAAGAAAAATGTCTAATCTGCCCAAAAATAAGCTCTTAGCTCTTAAAAGGTAAGAGTCATGACCTGAAGACATCTACATGCCAATATTCAGTTACAGTCATAGCACCACCAGCTGGCAGAAGGAAGTTTGGCACATATAAATTACTTTACATATCCCTCCAATTTTTTTCACTTTAAAAGCATATTGCCCACCATTCGCTGTTTTCCGATGGCCACCGGGTGGCGGTGAGCCCGGGTGCAAAGGCCCTTTCATCGCTGCTTGCAGCTTTAATACATTTTGAATTTTGTTTTTATTTCTGATAAAATTTAGTATGATACACACAGAAACATGAGAAATCATGATTGGAGCAAACTTTTTTTCACAGCACTGTATTAAGACCTGGTGTGGGGGGTGGGTCTACTTGCAGTGCTGTGATATCAAATCAAAAAGATCCCTCAATGTTATATTATTTTTTAAGGAATACACTGCCTTTGTAGATGTGTCTGAAATATTTATTTATTTTTCTGTTATAGCTGATGATTATCTACATCCCTTGCAAATCTTGTATATTTTGTTTAAAGTTCCCATCTGATCAACCATAGGGGTATTTTTTAATCCAAGCCTGCATGTTGTTGCTTACAACATTGCACTTACCAGATTCATTATCATCCATCTATTCTTCTTCATTTTTCTCAGACTCAGCTCCATCTTCATTTATGTCCTGTTTTTTATAGTTCTCTGCAACATGATTGTTTTTGAGGGCCTGGTTAACATCTTCATCTTTAAAAATGAAAAAGAAAAGAAAATGAAATGATACGCAGTTCATGGTTAAAACATGCAAAGAAACAGACAGCTCTCCTTGGATTCCTGCTATATGTGTGTTACTGTGTAAAATCTTCAATCAACGTTAATCAAATTTATGCTGTAGATACAATTGTTTTTAAGTGTTGATTTAATTGAACAGGGCTGGCAGTAATCAGGTCTGTGTCACAGTCTTGCTGTGCCAGAGAACAGTCAGGACGAAGAGCATGCAGGATACAAGAACACTTTAAGAACTTCACAATAGGAGCACACGCACAGGGTAACATTCACAATAACTGACAAACTGGAACACAATGGACAGGAACTGATATAGGGAGGATAACGAGGGGCAGACAGGTGAGCACAATGAGGTGACTAACTAATAATGAGAACAGGAACAACCAAATAAGGACACAGAGGGAGAAACCACAATAGACAGTCCACAGGGGTGTGACAGATCGCCCCCCCTCCCAGAAGGCGCATCCCGCGCCGTAACAGTATCATCAGGGAGGGGGGCCGGGCTTAACTGGGGATCAGGAGCCCTTCCTGGGCTGAATTGGGGATCGAGAGCCATTCCGAGGCTCGACAGGGGATCGAGAGCCCTTCCTAGGCTCGACAGGATCAAGGCAGCGCTCACGGGGTGCTGGCACTGGAGGGCGCTCTGGAGGAGCAAGCACAGCAAAGCACTTTGGAGGAGCTGGCACTGGAGTGAGTCCTGGGGCTGGAGCCGACACTGGAGCCTCATGAACGCATGGCGGGCTGGTAACATTCACAATAACTGACAAACTGGAACAATGGACAGGAACTGATATAGGGTGGATAACAAGGGGCAGACAGGTGAGCACAATGAGGTGATTAACTAATAATGAGAACAGGAACAACCAAATAAGGACACAGAGGGAGAAACCACAATAGACAGTCCACAGGGGTGTGACAGTCTGTTTGTGTAGTCCAGCTGAATCCCATTGTGAATGCAGTTTCATAGATGTAGGAATTAGTAGGCCTAACTACAGGGGCAAATATTTCACACAGGCCCAGTTGGTATTTGAAAACATTTTTGCTTGACAGCCCTTGTGCATGTCATGTATATTTAAAATTCCAGACTGATCAGAATTTTTTTTTATCCAAAACTACACGCTCTTGCTTACAACTTTGTACTTAGTACATTTATAATCACCCATTGTTTCTTCATTGTTTTCAGACTCATCTCCATCTTCATTTGTATCCTGTTCTGCATTGTCCTCTGAAACATGATCGTTTCTGAGAGCCTGGTTAACATCTTCACCTGTAGAAATTATTTAATAAAGGAACAAAATGAAATGAGACCCACTTCATGGATTATACATGCAAAGACACAGACAGCTCCCCTTTGGTTGCATGGTAAATGCCAAAGAATTGAATATAGATTTTATTATTTCTATTTATTATGAATAACATAATTAATTGAGGTTCTAATTAATTACTTTTGTACACAAGGACTGTCATTCTGACTATCACCAGACAACCAGAGGCCAACAGAGACATTAACCTCAGGATTTGCATTTTGTTTTTTATTTGTACATATGTGCCAAACTCTGTTAAAACACTATAATGGCACATACAGTTAGGTCCATAAATATTTGGTCACTGACAAAATTTTCATAATTTTGGCTCTGTGTGCCACCAGATGTCACGGGTCAGGGTGCCCTCTGGCTCCCTCTGCTGTCTGTGTGTCATGTCTTTTTCGGCAGCTTGTGATCAGTGCAATCAGCGCTGATCTGGCAGTGGGGCTGCGCGGGTCACTGGCTGCCTCTACCCCACCTGTTGCTTATTACCCTTTCCTTTATATTCCTCTTCCGTCTAGTTCTTGTTGTGAGTAGATTGTTTTGTGTCCTGGGTTCTGGTTGTGTCATTCTCAGGTGTTACACTCACCTCTGTCTTCCCTGCTCCCAGGACGCATAGAGAGAAGGACTGCCTCTCTTTAAGCTTTAATTCAAGGGGTTGAACAAAAATATAACATAAAACGCTTAGGAACTACAACCATTTTATACACCGTCCCCCCATTTTCAGGGGCTCAAATGTAATTGGACAAATAAATATAATCAATAAAATGTTCGTTTTTATTATTTTGTTGAGAATCCTTTGCAGGCAATGACTGCCTTAAGTCTGGAACTCATGGACATCAGCAGAGACTGGGTTTCTCCTTTGGGATGCTTTGCCAGGTCTTTACTGCAGCTGACTTCAGTTGTTGTGTGTTTGTGGCTCTTTCTGCCTTTAGTTTTGTCTTCAGCGAGTGAAATGCCGCTCAGTCGGGTTGAGATCAGGAGATTGACTCGGTCATTGCAGAATATTCCACTTTTTACCTTCTGGGTAAACTCCTGGGTTGCTTTTGCTGTGTGTTTTGGGTCATTGGTCAACAGCTAAAATAATAAAAATTGTGCCTGTGTCCAAATATATGTGAACCTAACTATCACATGAGATTTGTTTATTTGACACTTTTGCACCTTTTTTTTTTTAAGCTTAAAAATGGTAACTATGCACTGCCATTAAATAGACAAGTAGGTATATATGCTGCATGTCAACCAGAGCTTCACAGGTCTGAACACTCAGATTCAAAACTCCAAAGTAGAGAAAAGTTGTGATTTTAAACTTACCTTGTGCTTCTGTCTCTGAGAATCCACACATTTCTATCACATTTTGTTGTGTGCTATATTTAGCTAAATGACACAGAAGATAATTAATGAATAACATTTGTAGAGCATCAATTAAAATGCAAATCAAAGAGCACAAAATAAAGACTACTTTTTAACTCCAGGGACCGGTTGCATAAACTCTTTAGACTAGTCTTAAAAAGTTAGTCACCTGCTTTTTTCTCTTCAAGACTGGTCATAACTTTTTTAATTCAGTTATGAAAAGGTAGATTGTTCTTATTTGTATTGGAAAAGTAAGACTGATTACCCCTTTGGCAACTGCTAGTTGGTCAAACTAGTTCTTAAGACACAGTCTTAAGATGGTGGCTAAGTTTATGCAACTGGCCCCACAGATCTTCTTGAATCTAACTGGCGAAAACTATGTCATTATTGTTGCACATCTGGGAAACTCAAAGCCATATCATATACATATTTTGAGGTTATGAACACCTATATGTCTTACCCTTATTTCGTCTTTGGCAAATGAAGTAAAAGGCAACAGCCATTGTGATCACCCCGATAATAGCACAAATGATGGCTAAAATAACTGGTAGATTGATATTCTCATCTGTTTGTTGAATACATAATTACAAGAATATAACAACAAATAATCGTAACTCAGATTCATCATAAACACTATACTTCAGCCAGCAGTTATTGTAATGTGCATGAAGTTGACCTGTGAGGCAGTCTTTCAAAGCAAAACTGGTGCTCTTTAGGCTAACTTCATTTTTCACAGTGCAAGTAAAGACTGAATCAGGTTTCTCCTCCTTGCTGATATGAAGTTCTTGCCCAGAGTGTTGTATTGAATTTGATCCAGTCCATTCAAATGTTGTTTGGAACTGAGATGAAACGGAGCAGAATAGTATTTTTGATTCTGTAATATTGTTCAGTATACAGGTCACATTAGGCTCCTGCACAGCATCTGATGGAAACATGGAGAATACGGGAAAAATACTTTTTTATAAAACACGCTCAAGCTAAATAACATGGCTACAAGATGCTGAAATGTTTGAAACATTTACCAACTAGTAGACTTGCTGGGCTTAAGATGGTTAATGATATTTATTTAGCATAAAATTCTCAGAAATACCCATTATGTTTTGTTGCATTCTTTTGTCATACATAGAAGTCCAGCTTGATATTATTATTAGTAGTAGTAGAAGTAATACTATTAATAGTATTATTGCTGCTGCTTATTTTGCATTGGTTAAAAAAGTGACTTATTGGAAAGTCTAGAAATACTTTTATTGTTTAAACCATGTTTATACCATCACAATGTGATTCATTACATTCATCAACAGAATATGGCAGCATCTCAGGCTCTTGAAAAACCAGCATAGTTGGTACAGTATTTTGCATGCTAGTGTCCTTATCTAGCTTAACCAGCAGGATTTTATTGGTTATCCAGCTTCACCAGCTGTGCTTTAATGGCGAGCAGCATGAGTATGCGGATATGCCAGCCAGGCCAACATTACTAACCAACAATATTGGTGTCTTTTTTCATTCTCCATTGCAAAAAGTCACTTACCAATAACTTGAACTTCATTTTCAGAATTTTGCAGCTTTCCATCGATCTGTATTGCAGACCAATAAATCCCACTGTCCTGGCTGGTCATGCGAAGAACAGTGAGCTGCCCAGTAGTGATTTGAATCTCTGATCTTCCTCTGAATTGACCATACTCTTGAAATTCGTTCAAATCATGTTCAGCCACCTTGTTTCCATTGAATGTCCACAAAATGTCTTCAGGATCTCCTTGTACATTTGGATTTAAAGTCACACTCTTCCCATTCTCAACATAGATGATAGAAGTTACCGCATCTGAATAACATTTATAAGATCATGGTGCAAGGTTAAACATCTAAAACATACTCATCTAAAACATCTAAAAGTGAACAAAACAAGTTTTTTACAATGAAAACGATAACCTCGATGCAATAGTGTATTAGCTTGTTTCCTAACAGGTCCTAAATAAAATTGTGGCTGCTACTTCAGCCTTGTCTTTAACATTAGGATACTTCAGCAAAGAAATGGATTTGTGGATACAGTCTAATTCAATGTTTGCTTAACCTGTACATGTTCTGAAGCGCTTGAGGAAGCACTTGTTATGCAACCCATAACGATTACAAGATTATTGAAAAGAACTCAACTTTCAATATCATCTAAAATATGATGCAAAAAACTATGGTCAAAACATACTCATCTAAAACATCTAAAAGTGAACAAAACAAGTTTTTTTACAATGAAAACGATAACCTCAATGCAATAGTGTATTAGTTTGTTTCCTAACAGGTCCTAAATGAAATTGTGGCTGCTACTTCAGCCTTGTCTTTAACATTAGGATACTTCAGCAAAGAAATGGATTTGTGGATACAGTCTAATTCAATGTTTGCTTAACCTGTACATGTTCTGAAGCGCTTGAGGAAGCACTTGTTATGCAACCCATAACGATTACAAGATTATTGAAAAGAACTCAACTTTCAATATCATCTAAAATATGATGCAAAAAACTATGGTCAGTTATAAACAACATTACTTACTGAATCTTGATAATATTACACAGACGAAAAGATTAAATACTTCCCGGAGCGTTTTCATTTTCTTTCACTTTCGTACTGTCTCAGCTGTTTCAGGTAAAACCGGTCCGCCCACCCACCTTCAGAGAATCTGTAGTGAGACTCTAGCATTGAGTGGCTTTTGTGCAATTGCATCAGTCTGAAACTGTTTTTAAAACATGAATGGGTAGGCTATATGTAGATGGGCCTGTGACAGTTTTACCTCTGACTGCATTATTGTAAGTTGCCACACCTGAACCTCCTCAAAGGAAAAGGTATGTCATTCATATTTAAATAACGACCTGTTTATCCAGTCACACTAAGCTCCACCCCAGCTGTTAAAGGGATAGTTCACTCAAAAATGAAAATTCTGTTATTACTTAACCTTAAATTGTTCCAAACCTGTGTGAGTTTATTTCCTCTGTTGAACACAAAAGAAGATATTTTGGAGAATATGTGTAACCAAACAGTTGATGGTCCCCACTGACACCTATTGTCACTTCCATTACATTGTGACTTTAAACATTACATAACATGAACAAACACTCATAAACACGAAGACAACAGAGCCAACATCAAAGTTGGAAGGAAAATTCATTTACATTGTGTACAAATATGCAAATGTATTTACATGGCGTACAAATCTGATGCCAATAAAAGTCTAGGCCCTATAGCAGTCACAGATTCAAATCTGTTTGCATTATGGGAGAATTTCTAGAATTATGAACATTCAGCTACAGCTTTACAAACATCATTCATGTGTGGTAGCAGATCAGACAAGTTATATTTCTAAAGCAAAGGCTCAAAATGTATCACAAACATAAAAGCACATTTATGTACAGGTTTGAAGCAAAGTACAAAACCAATTCACAAACCTAAACCTAGCATTACTATTTTTGTTGGTTTGGTGAGTGTATAAGTGGATTACATGGTAAATGCAAAATTATGTGAATTTTTGTATTTTTTAAAAGCCTTTTAAAGACATAACCTACTGTAATAGACCTTGTCAGGGTAGCGCAATATAAGAAAGAGTCCCAAAAAAAAATATTGTATAAAATGTGTATAGTGAAAATCACATGTGTTCTTTAACTTTGTAAAGACTGTAAGTCTATTCCTCCCAGCCTCATCCATAAAATTCAATATGGCGTCTATCTACCCTGACTTAGGTCTATACAGGGGTTGGCAAGTTTTTTTGTCAACGTTGAAACCTAATAATTCATGTTATCCCAGCATAACATTATCAGTCACAGACTTGATTAATTGATTTGCTGACTGACAAATTAATAAAGCACAATTTAAAATATTTCTGACGCAATTGTCAGACAATTTAAATGTGTTTTAAACATTTCAATCCTAAAAGTAGTTTATTTTCAGGCTTAAGCTAGACTTTGAATAACAGATTTCGAATTTTCTCTCTTGATGTTGTAGTTCACCCGTCACTGTCATTGTCATTATGTGGAATTGTAAAGAAACTGAGCTGAAAAACTTCAACACTGATAGCATAACTTATTTTGCTCTCAAAGCTAAGAGTATCAAATACAACAAAACTGTAAGCTGCCATCCACTCAGTTGTGCAGCACAACTGAAGAAAAATGTACTTGTCTGAAAGCACTGCGCTAGCTGCTACTTTAACCTGCACTGCAGTTTCAGTGGTTTGTGATATGCAGTGGTTGCACACATGGTTTATCAGAGCTGCTGTTTACAGGCACAAGTTAATTCTCATACATTAATAGTATTTATAGCTTCTAACATAGTAAAACAGGCTGTTTGGCTATGAAAAAAAAAGATAAACTGAAAGTATAGATTGTCATGCAGCTGTGAGGGACTTTAAATGAAATACATTCATCTGTCTTGCTCATGCGCCAGTGTAAGATGTTGGCACTCGTGGCACTGGTTGCCAACCCCTATAGTAAAACATCAAATGACTCACAGAGTGATGTCAAATAATAATTAAAATGTTTGTCAGGAGTTGATTAGATATGAAATGTTGATAAAACAAGCAACCAAAATGCTTTTTTTAGATTTTGCATGTAACTTTGCAGTCAATAGAAAATTAGGAAACGTATAGGGCTATTGTACAGTAATATTTTTCCAAGTTTCTTAAAAGTGAAATGATTACTGTGTGAATGTATGTAATCATATAATTGATAAAAAAGTAACTGCAATCTGATCATGAGCATTTTAAAACAACAATCTAATCGCAAGAAGGCACGAGAGTAAGTCCATTTTTTTCAGCCCACAGACAGTCTTTCTTCTTCTTCAGTTCAGGTTTCTTCTTGTGGCCCTTTCTCAACAACAATAGTATGAGCAATACAAGAAAGCAAATCAGAGGAATAGCGATTGCCAATGTTATTCCCAATGGGTCTATCTGTTTTTCAGAATCACCTGAGGAAACAAATCAAATGTTAGATTGTTGCTTTCCGTAAAGGAAAATATATTTTATTGTTATAAAATAACATTCATAGTTTTGTATATGCATTTGATTTAATGGTTGAATGTGCTGTACGTTTTTTGCTTGTTTGTTTTTTATATCACACATGAATTATCCATACATGACAGATATCACTAAAATAGACTCTGGAAACAGCAAAAAATATATATATTTAGGGAGGCCCTTAGACAAACCACCTAATCAGAAAATGATTATCTGTACTTTTTACATATTTGGCCATTGAGTCAAGGCTTGATTGGATTGATACAGCAGCATTGTGCATATATGTATATTATTTGGCCAAACAGTATGTATGTATATATTTTCTTGCAAGCTAAATAAAATTGCATTTTTTTTTACTGGTGCAGGAAGGCTTCTAAAAGCATGAGATGGACATATTTAACCTAACCATAACCTACTCTTAAAATTAATGGGAGGTTGATATGAATGGTATACAGGCCCCTATGCCTAACCCAAGCCTGACCCAAAAATTAGACCTCACCCTAAAATCGGATTGGTTGTTAGGGATGTTGTTCCAGGAACATGTCCTACTTTGTGAAATTATGGTTAGCGTATGGTTGAAGGGATGTGAGCAGACTAATTTAGTGACTAAAGCCTAGTGGAAATGATTAAAATAGTTAAAAACGCTTAGAACATCTTACCTTCAGTGTGAACATAGATGGAGAGCTCTCCAGATTTATCTGAAGCAAATTTCTTCCAGGTGTTAGCAGTTAGAAGCCACTCCTCAACCTGACAGTAGTATTGCCCCATATCAGTGGGGTTGATCTGTGGCACAGTCAGTTTATAGTGTGTGGCAAGTGGTCGTCCAAACAGAAGATTTTTATCGCTAATTGCACTGTGTAAAGTACCGTCACGCCTGGCAGTGAACATGGAGACTGGTCCTTCTTCCTCCTGAACCTTGAACCAGGTGACCTCAAAGACAGACTTATCACTGGATTGTGAGTCAATGACACAGTCGATGGTGAATGCAGTCTGATGATTGGTAATGTTGAATGTTCGGTTCTCCTTCTGAACATGCAGTTTAATTTCTGTTTAAATTAAACACAACATCAAAGGTCAAACAAGAAATACACTTTTTCATCAAGGGGCAATATTTGCCCTTTAAATTGATTTTTAGGGGCATTTTTGTATGCATCCCCTTTTCATGTAAATTCTTACATTTTTTCAATAAATGCAATTAGATTAATAAGACACAGGGCTGTTACCAATCATATGATATATGATATCAGTATCACCAAAAACATCTTTGCACTGTAGAGGTGTAAATGTATTTACATAGACTTTTTAATGGAGCTCAGAGATGCCATGAATTTAATGTTTTAAATATCAATTGAATATAGAAATATTTAATGGGGGGAAAATAAGTATACTTTAAATATTAAACTAAAACCACCAGTAGGTGGTAGCAAGCCAATGATTCATTTATTCAATCCATTCAAAATGGCTGATTCACTCAGAAACTAAGCACATAACTGTCTTCATGAATGAGTCATTGAATCATTGACTCACTTGATACATTCAAAAATGTTGAATAATTCAGGAAAGAAAAAGCTGTGTTTATGGGAGAAGCAATGGTTCTCTTATGACTCTGTTTGAAACTATTTTTCTTGGATAAAGCAAAAACAGTTGATACTAACAATTTTGTGTCTAAAATTGACATCACTTAATATTAACGTAAATCAGCCTTATTTGCAATTAATTAATGCATTTTTTTTAAATACCATTGTATAAAGTAGAAAATATGAATGATCTTATGAGGAGGACAAATGAGCTAAAGGCTGTGCTGGTAGGCCAATATAGTATTTCAAAACGGGACTACTACCAGACAGATGGCCACACTAATCAGGATCAAAAGTTAAGCCTGATTGGGCATGTTCCATTTGTTTCCACTGGCCCTCACAATCAAGTTGGTATTGCTTAACTCTGCACTGGTAGCTTCCATTATCACCTATATCAGAGTTTAATACAACCAGATGGAAAGTATCAGGTGTAGGTCTTCAGAAGTCTAACCTGTGCTTGTTGCTGGTTCTCTGTGTGTAGACAACTGTTATAAGAGTATGACAATAAATATATCCCATTAACAGATTATGGGCTATTAAATACCCATCTGAAACTGTAGTGATGGGTAGGATCCTTTTTTTCAACATCCAAAGAGCATGTAAGACCATTTCTAATAATTTGGCACATGCATTTTTACTCAATTTGGAAGATTGTTCCTTTTCTTTCTCTTGGACACTCTTATATTTGTCATTGACCATTGATTAAAGAAAAGCAAGGATTAAAAAAGAAAAAAAAATCTGTATTTTAATCAATGTAAAACATATTTATGTTTAGAATATTGTGGTTCACTTAAAAGACCATTTCAGTGAAGTAAAATCTTCTTACCTTTCTCTTTGACAACCAGCTCTGTGGAAACAGACATTTTTTGTAGGGAATACCAGTCACCAAGAGGATCCTGAAGCCACTCTTCCACCTCACAATGATATTGCCCACTGTCAGATGTTCTGACCTGTTGAATAATCAGCTGGAAGTCCTGTTTCTGTCTTATTTCCATACGGATCCTCTGGTCCATCTCTAGGCCGGCTGCAAGGCCAAACTTGACAACAGCATCTAGGTCCATAGTTAACAGCATCTGGGACCCAACCATCCATGTTATCGTGAAACGAGAGGTATCTGTGGTTGTCCTCGTGACTGAGCATTCAAGCTTAGCATCAGTGTTGACAGTGGTTTCCAGACGAGAAGTGGGTGAGTAGTACAGGCTCATCTTGCTGACTGAGAGAGAGACAGATTGATATTCAATAAACTACAGTTTATTACAGTTACTACTGTAGTAGTCTATAGGTATGTATGTTAGCATTGTGTGTGTGTCACATTAATGCTCATTTGTGTTTCTGTTTGTGGTGCCATGGTTTAGTTTCCAATTATGTTGTCATTTTGATAGACCTGGTATCAATTTTCTAAATCACAATTTTCTCTCATGTGTACCAAATGTCAAAATTTCGCACACACCCGCTCATTTTTTAACACTATTTTTATAACATTGTATAACAATAGTAAAGTCTCTAGAACTACGTGTATTTACTAATAACAGTAATAACAGTGAAGTATGCATTATTACAAGTGATTATAACACTAAATCAAACCTTAACCCTAGCCTATAGTAAGTTCATGTTGTTAATTAGTATTACACAGTACTTATCTGTGCAATTATATGTAACAAGGACACATACGAATAAAATAAAATGTGACCAGGTTGGGTTAGAGGTAAGTTTAACAGTTTTTGGGGATAGGGTACTGAGTATAAAGAGTAGAGTATGTCAAAATATTTGAAGGTGAATGTATCTTTTCAACATAATACACTTTGAATAAAAGACTGTATTTACCAGGTTTCTGTACAATCACAGCTAACGGGTTGGAGTTCTTCAAGGCTTTCTGTACATCCTTTTGATAGGCATCAACTTGACACTGATACTGTCCTTCTTGTTGCTTGCTGGCTCTCGGCACCATGAGAGTGAAATGAGTGTCTGACGGCTGTTGAATGGACAGCTGATAGTTTCTCTGATCTGCTTTCCAGGTGATTTCTCCAGTATGGCTTATGGATAAAATATTTGTTTGAACAGTTGAATTGCGGGGCTGAAACATCCAGCGTACAGCCAAAGACACTTTAGGCCCTCTGACGGTGCATAGCAGTTCTACTGGAGAATCTATTGGCACATTTGTTGTACGACTTTTCAAGCTCACCTTCATTAGAGATTCTGAAAAGAAACGTCTGCGGTGATTATTTAAACTCTAATATCAGTAACAGTACAAATTTGAGCAAAGTAATTACAAATAATTTTTGGTTGAATGTCTTGACAGTTTTCTCTGTTACTGAGAATAATGTGTGATAGTAATCTTACCAACAGAATTAACTATTATGGCTTTTTGCTGAGATTTGGTGTTGGCTTTCTTCATCTCGCCATTGCTCTGTACTGTCCATTCAGACACAATGCACTTATACTCGCCGCTGTCAGATGTTGCAGATGCACCAAGCTCTAGAATAAAGTTTCCAGCTGGAGAATGAAATGTTTGAACATTTCTGCTCTGATACCTTGCCCCAACATCTCTCATCACTCCCTCATGGGTCAGACTAATGACATCACTGAAGGAAGCCCCCGAGTCTTTCTTGTGTTGCCATGACACTGATAAAGGACCTTTGAATCCCGACACTGAGCAGGAGACTCGTAGTGCATCTCCCTCAGTCACTGCGTCATTCATCTCCATGACCACCGCAAGATCACTCTCTGACCAGACAGGCAAAAAGCAGGCAATATTAATGTCGTGTAATGCAAGCATTCCTTGTGAAAACTGTGACTAGATTATGTACCACAAATAATACAAAACATTTTTTTTTTATTGCTAGCCATAGTATTCAACTAGTTTTGCACCCTTCTATCATATTCACCGGCCCCACAAAATAATTGAATTCTTTTCATTTTAGCTGCATATTTTAATATTTCCTATAAAATAAAATTTACTGTAAATTTCTCATTACATGGTTAATGTTGTATTTTACTTTCTTTTTTTCTTAAATTTCTTTTTTTTTTTTTTCCGAACACCCTAGCAATTCCATAGCAATGCAGTGATTCAGAACACTTTAGCAAACTCTACAATGACTGTATAGGAGAAACAGTTGTGTCATTAATTACCTTTAGCCGTGATGCTCACAGTCTCTGGACTGGACATTTGTTTTTGTATTTTTTTGAAGGTGCCATCTTCATTCATGTTTTCCTGCCATTCTTTTTTTTTTTTTTCCGAACACCCTAGCAATTCCATAGCAATGCAGTGATTCAGAACACTTTAGCAAACTCTACAATGACTGTATAGGAGAAACAGTTGTGTCATTAATTACCTTTAGCCGTGATGCTCACAGTCTCTGGACTGGACATTTCTTTTTGTATTTTTTTGTAGGTGCCATCTTCATTCATGTTTTCCTGCCATACTTCACACTGGTATTGGCCCTGGTCCTCAGCCCGAGCCGAACGGATGGTCAGCAGGTAGTCCGTGTGACTGGTTTTCACTGCTCTCATCTCTGCTGCATTCTCTCGCTCTTTGTAACTGTCAAACATAGTGAGCACCCCAGAAAATCCAATCTGGGCCACTTTCTGCTGGTCCTTCAGCCAAGTCACCGAGAAGAAATGACCAGGAAGGTTCTGTGCATTTACACTGCAGCGGATGTCCAGTGCGTCTTCCTCCTGTAGTGGCCCCTTTGAAGCCTTCAGATAAACACTGAACGAACCTGCATCAGGGGCCACTTTTGAGACACAGGAAAAAGCATGAGATTAAACAGGTTCTCTTACACAACTTCCTGTGTATGACTGCACTCATACTCACTCAGGCATTACAACAGGTTCTGACTTATATAGTTTGTATCAGTGTTTCTCAACTGGTACAACTCAACTGGTGATTGATACACAGACAACAGGGGAAAATAAGAATAAATGCCAATAACAGAATGCAACTAACAATATAATCATGCATAGTAAAGACAGGAATATGATTAGACTTATCAACTTTTAAATAGTAGGGAAAACACTTCCCATAACTTGTTCTTGTAAAAGCTGTGCTTCCAACCAAACTCTGCAGTATAACAAGTCTGACATAAATTCATTTGCCATTTGGTAAAAGCTAGAAATGCTAACATGGTTAGGCTGTGTGGCCTTCATCCTCAAAAAAATATGACCCAGAAAACATTAAATACGGGTTCAAGGATGGTAGAAAGCATGAAACTATCAAAATTTAAGAGACATTTAGAAAAATTGGCATAAATTAGAATAAATATCAATGTTTGATTCTAAGGGCTTTTTTTTAACTTTTGCACACTGAACTGTGTTGAGTCACTAAGTGTAAAATCTAAAAGAGCCTCTGGTTTAAATTACAGAATATAAATCTCACCGATTCGTTTGATCTCCACATTGCATGCTGTGGTGGTTTTGTGGGCAATCTGTGTCCAGGAACGGTCTGGGTCTTGTATCCACTCAATGGCTTTGCAGTAAAACTTCCCCTGGTCTGACTGCTGCACTTGAGGCATCTTCAGTCTGTAGGTTGTGTCCTCCACCTTATCCATGCTGATAAGACCAGCACGATAGCCATCCTCAAATCCAGCTCCTGGCTTTACAGTCAGATCTTTGTCCAGAGTAATGATTGGCCGGGGGATTTCATCCTCTTCACCATGGAGAAACCAGGTGACCGACAGATGAGTATGTTGAAAAGTCTGGCTGGAGACCTGGCACTCAAGCTGAAGAGGATCACCTTCAGACAAGCTCTGAGAGGGAGAGCCAGAGTATGATGCCTCCAGGGTGTCTGCAATCACTGTGGATAAAACAGTCTTTTTTTCCTTTTTTGTCATTGAAAATGTATTAACAAAGTGACAAAAAGTGATTGACCAATATGCATGTTTCAATGCCAATACCAGCATCTAGAGAACTGATATCAGCTGATACTACATCAGTGACTGATGGCTGATGCAGTAGTGTTTTATATAAATATAGCTTATAGCCAATCACCTTCTTTTGGGATACATGGGAATGTGAATGGGTGTTAAAGGATGGATTTCTCTTTCAATAATCTCAAAATGCCAGATCTTCTCATTAATCACCCAAACCCTCAAAATAAATAAATATCTTACCATTAAGCTTTGTTTCTGCAGCATAATCTCCGTAATATGCACCACCTGTGTGTAGGGTCTCACAGAGCAAATCACCTGCATCGTTCTCCAGCAGATTTTTGATTGTCAAGAGAACTGAAGATCCTGACAGCCTTTGAATATAAATCTCTTTATTTCTTATTCTACCGAAGAACATTCCGTAGGCAAAGTCTGGGTCACTGGTACTGATCATATTTAATTCCACATTTGGTTTCTTGAGAATGAACTGAAAATCCCGGTTAGATGGGCCTGTAAACCCTGTAACATTACAGGATATGGAGATGGGATATCCTTTCACTCTATACAGAGGACCTTCCTGGATCTGGACCTGAATCTGACCACTGCACAGATCTGTGTGGAGAGAGGAATTACATAATTAAAGCAAACCTTTAAGAGAAATTTCACTTTGATTTGCTATTGTTTTTGCATTTTTTCTCACTCACATGCACATTGTGTTTACTATACCTTTGCCTGTATTTTTGTCCATTTCTATGTGTTGTTGATTTTCAATAAATTTCAGCTTTTGATTATTACTGTTGCCTGTGTTGTTACTGTAGTCATACTGCATGTGTTAAAGTGATTTTTTCATTTACAACCCATGTTGGGTTCATTTTAACATTTTAACCCAGCAGTAGATATTTTTAAACATTTTTAAACCTTAAAAGAAAAAAAGCCCAGCATGCTGGGTCAAACATTTAACCCAACCCTGGGGTCAAAAGTTCAAAACAACTCAGAACTGCATCTCTTGTTGCCAAAACACATTTTTCACACAACTCTGACAGAAATGTTGTCATGCCAATGCTATAATTTGATTATCAAGGTTATCAAGGCACACGTGATCCAAGTTCGTCATTTTCTCTAATGGTAGAACCACTGAGGTTTGTATGTCCACATAAGATGACCATTGTTGCATCCCAAATTGCATACTATCTGTTCTAAATAGTATTCAAAATTAGAATTAGTTCGGCCCAAATTGTAGTATGTTAAAATTAGTATTACAAACGTTCACAAATGTTCTAATATTTCTGGTGGAAATTCAAAATGCACACCCATGCATACTCTAACAGATACAATTACCCACAAGAACTGTAACTGAGATCTATAAACATGGAGAGGAAAAAAGGCAGTTATAGACCAACAGTTAAGTAGAGAGGTTTAGTGGTAATTAATGAGTAATTAATAATTAATATCAAACTTGCTGATATTTGGCCATTAGCTTTTAAATACATCAAAAACATGAGTTCTCCGCATGAAGACCCACGACTAGCAGATCAAAAGTCAGTAGTATGCACCTTTTTTCACAAAAAAAAATAGTACATAGGGCATAGTATAGTAGTATAAATAGGGTTCTCAGAAGCAGAAGTGTCATAGTTGGGTAAACTTCTATAGTGGTGAATGGTAACTACAAATGTGTATGTGTGTGCAAATTGCATTCCCATTTGCACCAGAAGCAAAAGAACAAGAAAAAACAAAACCACAATCGCATTTCTATGACTTTCCAAGAGAGAGAGAGAAAATCAAGATATTTATTACTGTGGTCAGAAGAGATATTTTGACATTTTTACAAACACCCACAAAACAGTTTTAACTAGTTTTCTGACATTTAATGCCAAGGTGAAACTATATCACAAAGTACAGTATTATAAATTAATTATAAAAAAATTTGGTAACAGTTTATTTTACAGTGTCCTTGTTACACATTACATCTACTTACTATAGTAACAACACTAAATTCAATAATTGCATTTAATAAACCTAAACCAAACCCTAATCCTAACCATAACCCTATAGTAAATGTTGTTAATTAATATTACTAAGCACTTCAATGTACAATTACACTGTAAGAACAGCATACAATAAATTGTAACCAAACGTTAGATTTAAGATGTAGAAACGATTCTGTGAAAAGGGAAGCTGCACATATCTGACAAGGATACATAACAAACCGACTGTACAAAAAAATTAAATAGAGGGATATTACTTTTGTAGTAGGTACTGTCATATTTGAAGTCTTCGTTTTATTGTGTAGTGTTGCCACAACAACTATTGTTTTGTTTACAGATTACGCAGATTACAAAAAAAAAAAACATGTACCCTTTCATAAACTAGGCTGTAGCTATTAATTTATCGTTTGTGTACTATGTACACTTTTGGTACTAGGCTTATGTATCTTTAAGGTAACCCTTTAGGGGTTAATAAGATACAAAGGTGTAGGCTACCTTTTGAAAGGGTACCGCCCCAGTGACAGCTTTTGTACCCTTTTTGAGTGTAGTCTATAATAAACTGGCAAGATTTTATTATTTTAAGATCTTTTTTTTTCCTCAACTCAAATTAATATTTCACGCCCAGGTAATTATTTATTTGGTGAAAGCCGTGTCCCTTAAAATTTCGTCGTTTCACATGTTCACCGCGGAAGCTTCGCGTCGAGATCTGATCTGAGCCTGTCCGGGTTTATTTAGCCATAACAACTATTTTACGTTGTTACGACATTATGATTAACGTAAATAACACTTAAATGGCACAAAGCTATTGTTTCGCGTCAGAGTATATTTTACAAGGCGTATAAACCACTTATTTAACATTTATGGTATCATTTTGTAAGTTTTGGAGCCTGACAGTCGTTCACTGAAAATCGTTCAGCAGCTTGTTTATTATGTTCATTAACATTTTGCATTCCACACCGTTTTAATTTTGGGGTGAGTTAGCATTTAAAGTAGCCTACGTCGTCAATGACAGAAAGAGAACACAATAGCCTACCTACATACATGTACTTAAATTAAGAGGAAAGAGGTCAATTCGGACTTTATAATTCGGTAATTTATAATAATATTGTGTTCAGTCTTACCAAACTGCAGGAGTCCTGTGAGATACAGCAATAGTGGCAGGTGCCACAGTCGCCACCAAAAGTCCACCATCCTTAAACTGATCGATCCTTCCGCCTTGTCCCTCATTTCTGCAGTTATACAGGTTTCAACAAGAGCGCCTAAACCTGATATATGTTCTTTGACGCAAGTGATTGTGACACACACAACGAACCTCTTTCACGTCTGTGAAAAATGTAATTGTAAGCTAACTGAAGAGATAGTCCAATTTCTCAGTAACATAAATGAAACTATATATATATATAATTATTATTATTTTGAATATTATCCTGAACCCATGAAAACACTTTAAAAGTGATAAGTCACCCAAAAATTGTAATCATTTACTCATCTGTGTCCTTCCAAACCTGTATGACTTCCTTTACTGTGGAACACAAAATAAAATAATTAAAAAAATGTTGGAAACATGTCTATAGGGTAAGCTAAATATAGGCATCTGGACATATAACAAAACAAAAAAAGTACCAGTCCTGTAAATCCTGTTTTGAGGGAAGAAATCAGCCAAGAAAATGTTTAATGTTTAGATTATTTTAATTAATTGAAAAAAAAAAAAAATATCTCAAAACATTTATTTTGTTACATTTGTGGTATAAAAAATAATAATTAAAAGAAGTTCACAAAAAATAGTTGATTCTGGGTTTAATAAATGAAGGCATTATTACATATTCTACGCAGCAAAGTGACATACTGGCACATACAGTATCATACCCTCCCACCTGCCCTATGCTTTTGAGGACAACGGCTTCTAAATTAGAGTAATTTTATCATGCCACAGGTATCATTTTGGCAAAAAAAAAGTTAAATAAATCATGTCTAATATTTAGCTAAATAACATGATTATATACAATCCACTGGTATATACAACATTTACAACAGAAAATATATTTAAAAATATTTTCACACTAGGTGTCTTCATCATTTCTTCAGCATCCTCTCCTTCTATTCTTTTTGTTGGCCTTCAAGTTTTCATTTCAGTGGGACACTGGCTCTGTTCCAAAACCTAGTGAGCTGCCTACCTGTCTGCTGACTACATACCACATTGTTGTGGCAGATGAGTGATACACTGAGCAGACAAGAAGTGGCTGTCAATATATTGTTTATGTCCGCTGAATTCTTTTACTGGCCAACAGTCCACACCAATCCATTGTCCAATTGCGTGGCCATTCACAAAGGATGTGTTTTTGTGTTCAATCTACCCTATTTCTAATAGTTGATTTGTATACATATGCAGACAGACAGCTATAAAGAAATTTCATGGAAAGTGTTATATATACAAGGGCATAATGATATGCTACTTATGCATATTTACATACAACATGTCAATTTCCTTAATGTAGTACAATCAGTTATATAAAATAAATTGTATTAAATAAATTGTTCTACATTAATATGACAGCCCTATTTCTTATGCTAAAGTATTTGGATACTACTTCTCCACACCTTGCTCAAGCACACACTTCACCATCCTTTTCCACCCTCGAGTGTTTTCTGTCTCTTAGCTGACACTACTACCTTCATGTGGCTATAGTTGACAGATTTTCTCTACCTCTTTTACAGCTGATAAAACTGAGCCCATTTCGCCTTCCTCACTATAAACTTTATTATCACATTCTGTACAGCACTGTTTATTCAAATACTGTTCTCTGATTTCTGAACTATGATCTTCCTTCATTGCATGTTTTGAGAAGCTGTTGGTCTGTTTCTGATTTCTTGTCCTCTGGCACAGATATGCCATTGTTTGTATTGTCTGGATCGCTGTTCTTTACATCACAATCTTTTAAAAGTTTATTTTTTTCTCTCTTTCATTTCTGGAAGATCCTTTTATTCCTGCATGTTTTGTTCTGACTCACTGCTCTTGTCTGTCTGCTCACCATCATCATCATCTTCCTCTTGAGGGAAGAATGCAGTTTGTTTATTTTCTAATTCCATATTCAGGTTTGAAGATGGGACACTGATGTCAAGGTTAGACTGTGAATCTATAACAGAAAATAAACACGATGAAAAACCTCATCTACTAATTCAAAATACTAATGACTAAATCAATATAAAACTTCTGAATATGAAGAAAAGGCAGAAACGAACCCAGAGGATCACTGGGAGCTTCACTATGCAAAGGTGGATTACAAGGTTCAGCTAAAAAAATGGGGAGCAAAACAAATCAGATCAGATATTCATTTCTGCAGTGATTTCTCTAAAAGGTTTTGTTTCTCTGTATAAACATGATCTGTATTTTACCTGTGTGTAGTCTACCTGTCACCTCATGATTTTCCTTTTCGGTTTTCCCTTCCTCCTCCTTTTCCCCTTCTGGCCTCTGGTCATCCTCATTAATAGATGTACATAGGCTCTTGTTCTGCTGCTCAATTGACTGTTCACCATTTTCATTTTGGCTGCTCTTCTCATTTTTGTGTAGTTGTTCTGCTACATTTCCTGTGTCCACTGTACTTCTTCCTGTCACAGCAGACTGTGGACTCACAATCTCTATGTTTGCAAAAATAAATAAAAAATTACACAGTGTGTATGTGTGTGTGTGTATTTATATTTATATATATATGGTAGGTTATTGCTTCTGAAACTGAGTTCTGCTCTTTAAACCCTCATTTTTTTTCTTTGGAATACAAAATGAGTATTTTGGAAATATTCACACAGCTGTTGTCACACAATGTCCATGACTATCAAGCTCCAAAAAAGCAGTATAAAATCACCATGAAAGTATGATAAAAGTTGTCTATACATCTCATGTGTTTTATTCAGTCTCCTGAAGCCATATGATTGATTGGTGTAATAAACAAGACTGAAATTTAAATTGTTTTTCACTAAAAAATTTCTAAAATGCTGCAGATCTCAATCAAATATGGCACTTCTTGATGAATGACATCAGGCTGGACACCCATGACATCATTAAACATCACTTACATCAAAACAAATTTGACTTGAGATTGTCAGTGTACAATATTTAGGTCTGTTCATCATATAAAGATATCATATGGCTTGTAAGGGAAAAGTATGCACAAGCCACTTGAATCACTTTTATTACATTTTAATTTTGATTTATCTATTTCTATAAAAAAAAAAGACTCTACAAATCAGATGAAGAAAGCTTTAAAGCTCATTTAACGTCGATTTAAATACAAAGCAAGCAAAGTTTTGTTTTTCCAGAAAAGTTTATAATCTGTATTTTACCTGTGTTCAGGCTGTCTGTCTCTTTGTTTTCCTCTTCCTTCTCTTTTTTCTCTTCAGGTGTCTGGTCTTCCTCATTTGTATCTGCATCTTTAGTGTCCTGCTCTCCCAGTGACTCAATCTGCTCCTCCTCTTCATCTTCACTCTCATTTTTCAGTATCTGACCTTTCTCCTTTTCTTCTTGGGTTTGTAAGGATTTCTGGCTCTCTACTTCTGTGTCGGTTTCATCAGCTTTGCTGTTAGCGTTTTCTTCTGCTTCATCTGCATTTTCGCTGTTTTTCAGATTTTTTTCTAGTTCTCCTTCAGCTGTGCTTATAAATGAAAAGTACTGTCAGGAATTGGTCACTTGTTGCAAAGTCCTGCCTATTTAAAAGGCTCGTCCAATCCTCAAATAAGAAGACAGGCTGCCATGCAAATTATACAGTATGCAAATATCGTTTGGTGAATTCCAGCTTCCAGGTGGAGCCAAAAATGAAGTGCTTAGAGCCTTAGATGTTTGCCCCTTTGAAATCAATGGCTTAGCTATCCCTTAAACTTCAACTAAAGCAAATCACGAACAACACTTAATGAGGTATAACTTACATTTACAAAAACACTGAAATGCAGAGAATATTAATATATAAAGGGATTATATATACAATGACAAAATACATTTCTGATCAAATTTTTAAGGAAGTCAGACTTTCTGCGCAGTCAACAAGCAACTGCTAACTAGAGATTCTAAAAGAAAAGAACTGCTATTTCTGCCTTATAAGACAATTCGAAATTATATAAATAAGGATGTATAATTTAAGCTAAAGTATATAATGCACAATTATATAACTTTAGTTTTGTACAAATAGAAAATCGAGCAAAGAAGAAATAGACATTTTCAAAAAATTCCAAAGAGAGTACAAACTCTAATCCCACCATTTTCCAGACAAGCTGTATTTTACCTGTGTTCAGGCTGTCTGTCTCTTCGTTTTCCTCTTCCTTCTCTTTTTTCTCTTCCGGTAACTGGTCTTCCTCATTTTTATCTGCATCTTTAGTGTCCTGCTCTCCCAGTGACTCAATCTGCTCCTCAGGTGACTCCTCTTCATCTTCACTCTCATTTTTCAGTATCTGACTTTTCTCCTTTTCTTCTTGGGTTTGTAAGGATTTCTGGCTCTCTACTTCTGTGTCGGTTTCATCAGCTTTGCTATTAGCGTTTTCTTCTGCTTCATCTGCATTTTCGCTGTTTTTCTCATTTTTTTCAAGTTCTCCATTTGTATTTCCTGTGTCGTCTTTGTTTTTTTCTGTTATAGCAGATTGCGGACTTTCCTTCAAAAGTTTTTGTCCTTCATGAGTTTCACCTGCATTCTCCGATTCACTCTCCTGATCCCATTTTTGATCAGCAATAGATTCTTTCGGAGCAGTAAGTCTGGTACGGCAAGGGAGTGTGGCTTCAGATGAACCTAAAACAAACAAAATATTATAGAATTATTATAGAATATTATAAAATTGTATATTCAGCAATTCGAACCTATTTCTCTGTCCCATCTTCAAGAAATAGTGGGTCAATTAAAACTGTCAGGCTCCTCTATGGATGCCATCCCTCCATTTCTTTTCAAACAAGTTTTCGATGCAGTGGGGCCTTATCTTTTAAACATAATAAATCGATGTCTGGAAACATACATGGTACCGGAAGCTTTAAAACATGCTATAGTTCGCAATTTGTTAAAGAAACCAAACTTAGACTTAAATGTTTTGGCTAATTTTAGACCAGTTTCTAACTTGCCTTTTATTTCAAATATTTTAGAGAAGACAGTGCTGCAACAACTGCAGAGTTTTCTAGATAAAAATAAGGTAATCGAGCTTTTTCAATCAGGTTTTAAAAAATATCATTCAACAGAGACTGCACTCCTGAAGGTTCTAAATGATGTGTTAATAGCTGCCGATTCTGGGGATTGTACCGTACTTGTGCTGCTAGATCTGAGTGCGGCTTTTGATACGGTAGATCATGCTATCCTTCTTGCTCGCTTGGAGCATTGTGTTGGTATCAAAGGAGCTGCCCTTGAATGGTTTAGATCTTATCTTTCAAATAGGAAGTTCAGTGTAAATATTGGGGAATATTCGTCGGAGGCTGCTGTTCTTTCCTGTGGTGTCCCACAGGGATCCATTTTAGCTCCCATTCTTTTCACGCTATATATGCTCCCATTAGGGTCTATCTTCAGGAAATATGGGTTGTCGTTCCACTGCTATGCGGACGACACTCAAGTATATTTACCCTTAAAACCTAATACTGATGGGCTGGAAACACTTAGGGCCTGCCTATCTGACGTGAAAGCTTGGTTATCTTTAAATTTCCTCAATTTTAATGAGAATAAAACTGAAATCATAGTTTTTGGCTCATCTGATTCTCCTAGTCAAATAACCCTAGGTAATTCAACACTTCCGGCAAAGCCTTGGGTAAAGAACTTGGGTTTTGTGTTCGATGATGGTTTAAAATTTGACAAGCAAATAAACTCAGTGGTCAAATCCTGCTTTTTCCAGCTTCGTCTTTTAGCTAAAGTAAAACCTATATTATCTTTTAATAACTTTGAAAAAATAATTCATGCATTTTTAACATCGAGGCTAGACTATTGTAATTCACTGTACTACGGGATTAGCCAATCAGCTTTATCCCGGTTACAGATGGTACAAAATGCGGCGGCAAGACTTCTGACATGTACTAAAAAACGGGACCACATTACTCCAGTGCTACACACTTTGCACTGGCTGCCTGTACGATACCGTGTTGATTTTAAAATTCTTCTTTTAGTATTTAAATCTTTAAATGGTCTGGCCCCTCCTTACCTTTCGGATTTACTGACAGAACATCGTCCAGTTGTGTC